TCGCTGGTATGCCGAACCCGCATCGATCAGATACGCAATGCCGGAGTTTTTAATAACTTGTTTGTCATATGGCAATGCCCTCAAGTACAGGTTAAGTTTTAGATAAAATTTATTGGTCTGAAGAGAAATTGGCTTTGAATCATTACGTCGTTTGTATGTTGGAGCATGCGATAGAAAATCAATATTGGAACAATGAGAAAGCCGACAGAAAAGGATGTCTAGACGTAGTTTACAAAGTAGTTACAACCATGACATGTGATCGTACTATTTTTGTGTCATGAATCGTTGCATTCACGTAAGTTGTTAATTTCTGTCACTTAAGAGTACATGTCGTTTCTTGAATTTTGGAGCCATAATAGCATATTTAAAACATTTTTTATTTGATGCAGGATATGCATTTCTACGGGCATGAGTCAAGAGACAAAAACAGTGAGTCTGACTGAAAAACTGGCACCTAAATTGTGATAAAGCTTTCTCGTTCCTGTAAACTAGCATAAGAACTCTGATGAAGGAACGTTGAAGAGACAAAATTTACAATAATAGTTTTTTCTAAAAAGTTTTAGTTAAATTGATCACGATTGCTTTTTGTCACAATTTTTCACCAAAGTCCAAAAATCGTATCCTCAGAGTGGAAGACTTTCGGATCCTTGGACAGTTTAACAACTGCTGCTTGAAAATCATCTCGAGCAGACTATCTATCGACATTAATTTCACCGCCACGACCAGTTCGATTGCAGCATTGTTCTTGTTTCTGCTGTTTTAAAAAATTATCACACTATTGGCTTAGAGACGTGCCACGATGCCCATAAAACGAAACCACCTCCATTACTATAAACACCATCGTGATCAATGGATGGAACTTAAAATGATGCGGATAAATTGAGATTTAATAAGACACTGTCAGAGGTGACGCTTAAATTTCTAGAGAATGAAAAAATATAGGTATGAAGGATAGGAGAAGGACTGACTGAGTTTCACGGTCATTGCGCCATATTATTAAGTTTTGAGCCTGTTGAACCTTCTATTGTAGCAGCGTAATAACCTAGCACTACTGTTGCTAACCTAAATCAATTCGTGCCATCGCATTTTCAGATCAGTAGATCAGCCACAGAAACGCTTAAATACTCAATCAGCTACCTACTAATCATCAAATATGTTTTTGATTTACCAACAAAGTTGTGCTGTTGTTAATATCTTAATGTACCTGAAAATCCACTAATACCGCAGATTCTTCTCATGATGTTTCGTAGTTTCGAAAGCAAAGGTTCTCATTCTTCGGATTCTCAAATTGTTATTCTGGACAAAGCATGAAGTCGGATTGGACGCAGAAGAAACATGGTTCATCGTTCGCCGTTATGATGCTTGTTTCGCTTAACCCGCGCCATTATGCCTGTTGTCTAATTGCAACAGTCTTTCTGTGCAGGTACCCTCTCAGCGAAGAGATCCTTTTCGTCGTCGTTCGTTTGTGCACATGCGCTGCAAAGATAATGGGGAACAGTTATCATTCGTAGAAGACTTCTGGAACGAAGTAGAGGTGATTGTTGCTCTACTCATACGCACTAGAGGGCTGTGTTTTTAGCAAGGTCTCTCGGGGGCGACCAAAGATGAGTTGACGACTGCTATCGAGAAGTGCAGAACTCTGGTGCTGCAGACGCAACCGTTTTCACCCATCCGCAAGTGCCTCATCACGCGACTTGTCGAACTACGACGTCAGCTGTACGACCTCCAAGTAAAAGTGGTTGTGATTAATTGTATTGCTGGAGCTGTCCTGAAATTCGGGTGAGGTGATTGCATGTCAGCTGATTGAGATTTTCATTTTCAAATAGGCTGCTGTGGTATCTAATATCGCCGAGTGAAATCGTGTAGTGCTGCTGCGGCTTGCCCGTCTTGAGTGCCATGAGAAATTCAGCTGCCCTTTTGCATATATTACTTATTTATTATATTTTTATTATTTATGCGGTAGCATGTATGAAGTTTCAGATTGTGATATATTTTAGATGATGGCCATGAGGTTGCCAAAGCGAATAAAATAAAAGTAAATAAAATGAGCGGGATGCATCTGACACTGCGAGTGTTTTATTGATGTGTGGGCGTTTTATTGAGTCAGAGTTTTTACAGGACAGGAATTACCCCCTCCCTTGCGTAGGCAGTTAGGAGTATAATTGCACAGTAATACACCCCGAAATCTAGTCTTTGGAAAGTTATGCCTCTATATCTTATTCTTAATTTAAACAATTTTTTATATTATTCTAATTGATGGAAATAAACCATAAAATAATTAATCGTCGAAGAAAGCACCGTGGCACTTGTTCGATCATGCCATCGCACTTTCGGAATAGAAGAGCAATGATTCTGATTCTCAAAT